TTCTGCACCGGCCTGGTCAGTGGGTGTGCCTTCCCACTCCCTTGCATGGTTGTCAGTGCTAGTAGTTTCTGGAAGATTTCCATCTTCCATTTCTGGAAGAAAAAGTTACAAAACGTAACTTGGCCATGTGCATTAGTTATTATACAATTAGTTCAATAGGTCTCATAATCAGTTTAAATGTTTGGAAGTAAATGAAATATCAGGAAGTAAATTTTCCTGTTATCCTAATGAATTTCTGAAGCATGGAATCATTTCCTCTACCCTTCTGGAAGTAATATAATCCAAAATGCTTCTAGATATTTGATTTTACACTTCTTCAAGCTTTTTTTTCCTCCTCTCCCTTATTTTTCATGCATGGGCATGGCTTTTGCCAAAGTATTACTACTACAACTTGAAAGGAAAGCATTCCTAGTTTTGATTGTACAATATTTGCATTTTAAATAGTTTGTATTACCTCATCTCAAATGACTCTTAAAATGTTAGCTATCATTATGAGGAGATAAGTCAACAATGCACAGTATTTCTGGAAATCTTCTTCCATTAGCTTACTTTAGTGACTTTCTTTTTTGTATTGATTTGAGGTTTGGAAATACCAGGAACAGTATTTTTCTAAAAGCTCTTCTGTGACATCTGCTGGGTAAAATGTTACTTGCATTGTAATTCTGGAATGTAGTAACTACTCTAATTATAATCCTTCCAGCTCTATTAAACTGTTTCTAATGCTGATATTTAATTGTTCTGAGGTAGCCATGGTCAAAATTAAGATAATATGTGATACTGTTTTTGGAAGTCATCCTATCAAACTTATAAACAAAGAGTTATGATGATGAAGTTTCGGCCTTTTGTGTGAATTTCAAGGTATTTTGACAAGTTGCATAGCCACTATTTTCTCATTAGGAAAGTCTACAGGGAAGGCTTTCATAAAAAAAAAAAAAAGATATGAGCAATCAAGTAAATCAGCTTAAGCAGTAAGTAAGCCCCTGTGTATTCCTTCAGAAAATCTTCCACCTTTGTAACATAATGAATTTATATATAATGGGGAGTTCAGAGCAAATGGGAGTTGTCTAAAAGACTAAAAGAACAGAGTTGCAGTAATGATTAAGGGCAATATTTCACTTAGACTTTCACTTAGATACGGACAAGGTCTTATACTTGCTTACATTACTATGGAATTATTTTTCTTATACTTAGGAGAAATTATATAGGAGAAAGGGGAGAAAGGAATAAACATGGACTCTGATTTTCGATTCTTGATCATTCTGTTATGATTTTTGCTTTGCTGTGTCACCTGTCTTTTGTTAACCTCTAATAGCATATGAGAGATTTAGTTTCATATCAGGCTATATTAATAATAGCTATTCAAATTGCCAAATTGTAAATGATTTGTTATTAACCTAGTAAAATAGGAGGAGTACTGAGGAAATGCTTTCCAGTTCAGACTCAGAACTTTGTAATGACACAGGCAGTTCCAGAAAGTGAGTTGAATGTTTTGGTGGATGTGGTGTTTTTTTGAGTGTTGCTTCCCTCAGAGAAGTGTGTTTTAAATGCTGAATATGCAAAATCTCCTTTAGCTATGCTTCACTAGTCTCAGATGCAGTTTCAACCCATCTGACATGTAGTGAAAGAAACATGCATTTCTTCCTTCCTTTTCTGCTTAACTGCTCAGTATTCAAATAATTAGCTTCTGTCTTCAGTCAGTCAAATTATGACTGTGTAGGTGGTTTCTTTATGAGTAACTTGCTTTCTAACTAAGCTCCTTTCCTGTTCGGATGCCTTTGCTGTGCAGCATCACCTTTTATTTAGGGGTAGACGCCGCCTCGGTTCCAAGCAACAAATCTCACATTTTGCTGTCAGTCCTGCATGATTCTGTTATAACCCCAGAGCACAGAGTCCGTTCTGCCTTTACAGACTGCATCTTCTTACTGCATTTCAGTTTCAGTTCAATAAGTCTGAACTTCACCGAGGGGATCTTTCCTTTATGAGCCAGTATTTGATTGAAGAAAAAATAAATGACAGATTTGATGCTAGATGAGAAATGGGATTTCCACAGCAGTAGTTCAGTCATTCATACCAGGCTGTGACTGGGATTTGCTGTTTGCAAAGAATGAGACATTCTTCCTTCTGTTATGCTGGGGATCTACGTCTATTGCTGTCCTAGTGCTCCTCCCTTCTCTACAAAGTCTATTCAGGTTCTACAATTTTAATTTTAATGTTCTTTAATATGCCTCACTCATAAAGGTCTACATTTTGGAATTTAATTATTGCTATGTTTTAACATAGTCCTCTGTGAAATAGAATAGTGACATTGCCAGTCTGAAACCTCTTTTGTTTGGAGATTTTTACAGGCTAAGAACTTTTGAGAGGGAAGAATCGCTTAATTCTCCAGTGCAAAATTGCAATAAAAAGTGCATTTGGCTAAAAAAAACCTGTTGTTGTGACCTCACATGAGAGCAAAACCCCCATATTCCCTCCTCCTTCCCTTGCCAGAAGGCCCAGAGGGAAGGGAGGCCCAGGAAAGGAGGCTACATCTGAATACAACAGGGAAACAAAGGAGAAGAGTGGACAGGCATAAACATGGTTGGTTTGCAGGTCTTGTGTTTACTTTATATATTTTATATATAACCCTCTTTTAACCAATATTTGAATAATTTGAATAATATTGGTTAAAAGAGGGCCACCGTTTAGGTTAAAGACTTTTTTGTGACTAGTAGGTATGTGATGTTTTTGTGAACTGAGGGAGTGTATGCTCAGTTCTCAGTGCCGCGCGTGCCCTTCCAGGAGCCGGAGTAGCAAATGTGAACAAATGTTAGGCTAGCTAGGGTGAGACGAGAGGAAAGGCACACCACCCCACCCATCGCCTTTGCAGCTGAGAAAAATGATCTTCGAGCACCAGCAGATTGAGTATCATTTCCCCAGGTTTGTGCCTTGGGGACTCATCGTGCTCTTGTGGTAGTAACCCCTTTACACCTCAACCCTCGTGGTGCCCACCAGGGCCAACAGAAGGTCACACTGCTCCATAGTTCTGTCCGCATGTGAATGAAGATGTGGATGAAGGAAGAGCAGTGCTGTGTCTGGGTCTTTGCAGATGAGTTTCAGTTTTTAATTAGGTTTTATTCAGGTATTTTCCAGCAAGTAAAATGCAGGTGTTGGGTTTTTGTTAGCTGCAGAGGCCATCTTGTGGCAAACTGCTAGAAGTGGTATTAGAATTTAATTTAGATGGCAAAATGAAATATTGCTTGTTGCAGTATTTCCGGTATTATTTGTATTAGCATCCTGCCTTGAAGCATGACCATACTATATATATATATATAGATAGATAGATAGATAGATATGGCAGATACTGTCAAAATATACATACATATGTATCTCTGTGTGTATAGGTATATGTATCTGCTGGGCCTGTAAATGAATATTCTTAAAGAGAATGTATTGATGATAAAAGAGCCTGTGAGTATGTATTGCACTAAGTGCATTATGAAGATGTTTTAATGTTTTCTTATGTAAATACACTCGTTCCTCTCAGAATAAGAAGACAGATTATATTTATTTGTTTAATAAAAAATGAAAGGATGAGTATATTACAGTAAAGGAGTGAAGTTCTTCCTATACTTCGTCATACAGTTAAAAATGATAATCCTAAAGGATGAGACATTAGTGAGTAGATTAATTAAACATTATGTGAGTAGTATTCTTTTTAATCTTTTCCACTGCAGCGTAATTTTCTCATATATAATAGTGATTTTGTAATTACAATATAAAAACTACAGTTTTAAAATACAGATCACAATTAAGATTTGTCAGATTATCAAAATCTAAAATATGATTAGAGTGGTGGTGAAGGTTGAAAGAGGCAGAGAATTGCTGCTTTGAGTCCAGGAGAATGATAATAAAATGATAAGGATGCACAAGTGGCCTAAACTTGATGAAATAGCTGCATCTGCATGAATATAGCTGGAGCATCAGGAAAAGTGCACAGATGTGACCAGCTGTGTAAGCACAAACTGGTATTTGCATGTGTAAATACCAAACCGCCAGCTGTCTCCCTGAACGATGATTCCCTGGGACTTGCCAGCTATTTTCCATTCTTAAGGGAAATGTCAGAGTTTAGCTTTTAGAGGAACTTGTGGTGTGTTGCATCATCTGGGTTGCGATACTATGTAAATGAAAACATAGTTACAAAAATTCAACTCTATTATTATTATGAATTTTAAAGATCAATCTTAGGTTTTTGAAGGCAAACGCGATAGTAGATTAAAACACATGCTAATGAGTAATGCAAATCTACCTATCTTATTTTCTGACCCTTGAATTCAAGAGCTCAATATAATCAATAAAATTACAAAGAAAGTTTTTTTTTTTAAGCATACAGGAAAAAAATACTCCATTTTCCAAACTTGATTTTAATCTGAAAAGAAAAATTACTAGGATAGATAATAATGAAGCACCAAATTTGGTAAATTCTGGAAATGCTTTAGATGTTCAGTGGGGTAACACTAAAATCTGTCATGACATTCACAAGAATAAAATTATTCTCTGAAAGTTCAGAAGTCAGGATTAATTATCAAAAACCTGAAAGTGAGATACAATTTTTTTCTGTCTGTATTATAATGGTCCACTACATTCTCTTCAAAAGAATATGGTAGGGATTATTAGTGGACATACAATAATCAATATATCAGGGAGTGATTTCTAAGACTTTGAGGAAATATAGTGAGTAGTTCTTAGTTTCCAAAATATCTACTAATAGCTGTCTGTCGGTTGGGTATGACAAGTGCAAGTAATTAGAATCCTTGGAAGACCATTCAAACCAGCCTCTAGTTCTTCATACATAAGTTTTCAGTACAGTACAACAAATGTTCACTTTTAGCAAGCAAGGAAATTATTTTTACATTTTCCTGAAGTATAAAGGCTTCAAAGTTACAAGTAAAAGAAACAGTTCACTGAAAGATATCATAGAAATATTCTTACATATCTGCAAGAATCAGAGAGGAACGGGGCTGTTAGTTGTCAGGGGTCCTGCCCTGTTTGTTTTCCCACTTGAAGCGCAGTTCCTCTGAAAGATCCCTCCGGCCGCTCCTCCGCAAATAGCGAGACAGGAGCTGCTGTTTATTAGCTGATCGTGGAAGGGACTGTCTCCAGCAGCAAAGAAGCTCGTAGATCTGGTGGGTTAAATTATCAGGGCACTTCAGCCTAACAAGCTGAAGTGTGCTCCTCCGAACGGGTAAGTGCAAAGCGAGCAGTGGAGTGTCATCTTCTGCAAGCTCTTCTGCAAGCCAGTACAGCAAGTTGTCCCACAGGGCCTCTGCTAGGCAAAAGTTTGTAAAATAGAATCGTTACTTTTCTACTGTGTCAGTCTTTCACTTGGAAAGCTTTCTAAATCTTGAGCCTGAGTGGGTGAACTAAATGTGGTTTGTTTTTGCCTGCAGTGAAAGTAGATATGAAACATCATTACTTCTTATATTTAATGTAATTTTTGGTGATTGTACTGAGATGAGAAGTGGCTTTAGTCAATAGCAACTTCAGCAATGAGCTATAATTTCTGGGACTTTATGGAGAAAGCTAGCAATAAAATAAAGCTCATGCATTTCCTATAATTGATACATCAATAGCTTTCCAGTACAAATTGAATCTTATTATGCAAAATGTAGTATGTGTTCCAGCACCCCACCACAATGTTGTTATTTTTTTGTTCCCTGGTAACCAGATTGTTTCTGGCTTTGAATTAATGAGTATTAACTACTTTTTTTCTGAATATGGCATCTTAAAATGACAGAATTAAAATAACTCCTAGCATTAAAAAAAAAAACTCTATATACTAATGTTAATACATTAGATAAGACTTCTTACCTGATGAATCAGAAGAAATTCTTTTTGTGCTCTTTGGCCGTTTGATCAACTTTTCTTGCTATGAAAGACAATGTGTTGAGGGAAGAGAAAGGACAGAGTGAAACGGGGATGGAGGATCACAGTAAATCAATAGGCTACATTGAGGCCTTGTGTCATTATTGGAAACTAGTCCACATCCTAAGCTGGTATAAATCAATATCCAGCAATTAAAATAATGAAACAGCATCTGTTTGGACCAACTGAATGTTTATTGCATGCTATTACAAAGATTGATGTATGCAGTTTTATAAATATTTGTTCAGTAGCGTTATGTCATGATTGCTGTATAGAAAACAGGTGTATAGAAAATCTATGTGGAACCTTCGTACACAAAAGAAATTCTGATTTTAAATCTTGCATTGAATTTGCCTGCCTGAGCCCGTGTACTGACTATATGGTAAGACAGTATAGCATACAGTATTGTTTCAAGGACAGTAAGAATAGTTGGTGCATATCTACAAAATCATACTGTGTTTGTAGCTGTAGTTGCTCATTTTACATGTCTCAGCTTCCAATTTTAGATGACTAAAAATCATTGCTCAAAACACAGTTTCATTAGAAATTGCAGTTTTTCTTCTGTCTTCCTCCGAGGGGAAAAAAAAAAAAAAAGGCTCTTTTTCTCTGTGACTGAGAAAGAGGAATTAAGTCTTGTGGGCCCTACTCTTTGTTCCTACTCCATGAAGAACGAGAAAGTATTTACCTAAGTACTGGGCACAAGAAGAGATCAATTCCTATCAAGTGAAGTTTAGGTCTTTTTTGGTTTAGATCTTGAGTTATCCTCTTTCAGTGCCTGTGGTAAATGTACCTTGCTCTCACAGTTTCAGCTGTGCTACCTGGTAGTATATGCACAATTTTCCTTATGAGATTTGCTCCATATTTACTCGTTGAGATTCCTTTCTCTATTTCCAAATTAATAGCACGATACGACTTTTCCTTTTGGATATACTGAGCCATAGGCCAGGCAGAGCTTGTGTTAAGTACTTTTACAAGCCTCAAATTAAAGGGAATAAAAGGTTTTTCCAAAAGGGGGCATTGCTTTTCTTACAAAACTCTAGAGTGTTTTCTCTGGCTTTGTTTAATCATGTATTTATATTTAAACTTATTTTCAGTAATTAATGAGAATTTAGCACTTCAAAGCTCTTTATGAGATTTTCAGAGTTTCTGTAGATGAACTCAGTTACCCAAGGATTGACTTTAATCTGATATACTTTATGCTGTTCACTGTTAAAGTAGTTCTGAAAAGAATGGAAAATGAATATTGTCTGGAAATAATGTAGTAATTATATAATGTATTAGATCTAGAACATGAAATGTTTAAATATCTGTGGTGAAGAGCTAAATTTACCCACAGTCCAGCTGCACTGGTATGTGGCTTCATTTTTCTGGTTGACAGTGTAAGTAAAATGCTGGAACAGTCAAAGCAGTTTTCTAGTCTAAAAGGCCTTTCAGTTAGGTAAGAAACTGCCTTTCTGAAGCAGATCACATGCTATTTTACTGTTAGACAGTCATTAGGCATAAAACTTCAGCAGATTAGTAATTTGATAATGCTTCTATGTATTACAGTAATATCTTTTTTTGCAAAACACTGTGATTTCCATCAGTGTTTTCTGAAAAGCTCAAGTGCTTTCTTAAATAGACCTCTCAGACATGACCGGATTCTACTAGAATATTAAACAGGATAGACAGAAAAAGGAGAAATAAGCTTTTAAACTCTCTAGACCAGTTTTACATGCATACACCATTTTGAAATTGATAGAAGTATTCCTGAGATGCTTAACATGAGAATCTGATCCATGGGATTTTCCCTGTATTCAAAATAACAAGTTTGACCAGTCAATGTTTTTAAAAGCTGAGGAAGTAACAGCTTCATGAACAAAATTGTTAATGTTACCTCCCTGCAACTGCAGCCTGTTTAAATTAAAAAGTGATGTGAAAGGTTTCATACAAAGTAAGCCACCACTGTCAGAATTGTATTTGTAAGACTGTGGTTAAAGTGGGAACATACGTTCATTATGAGACATGTTTATACGTATACAATAACTGTCTTCACAATCCAAGGGAGATTTAGAATTTTACAGAAAATGGCAATAAATACGTAGTCAGCTTGAGTGTGAGTCACTTGTCTTAAATTGCATTTGTCTTTGTCATTAGTGAGACCAGGCACTCCAGATGCTTCTATTTTTCTTATCTATGAAAAGGAAAACATCCCTCACCTCAAAAAATACTTTATTTTGAGAAAATACCTACTGCTCCTGGCAGCATGGAGTTTCTTTAATCCTGTGCATTGAAATAAATTCATTAGCCTATTTAAACTGAATTTAAGATATTTATGAAAACAAAAATGTAGTAGAAATGTAAACAGTCTTTTTTTAATCCTACATATGCTGCTATTAAGGGATTTTATTCCCAAACGTCCAAAGGCACTTACATGTAAGTGAGAAGTCATTCAGCATTGCCACCACTTAAAGATTCAATTAACTCATGTTAAGGGAGAACCTTACTGCAACAAGTGGCATCCCATAAGCATCAAAGTAATAGAATCAAAGTAAGAGCAGGGCTCCAAGTCGTGCGCTAATATCAGTAGGACAGATGTGAACAGTGAGTATTATGTTTTAATGTGCTCGTGAGATGTGTGGCAGTTTCCTTGCTGCATTAAAATAGTGTGATAGAAACTAGCAAAATGGAAGCAGCGTGGCTGGCAGGCATCTGTCATCATCACAGCAATATCTGTTCTTATTGCCCTAGTCGTACCAAAGTAAGCGGGAGTTACACACAAAGCAATGCATGTCCTACTGCTAGAAAAATGTTAGTCGACGAACACAAATGTAGGATAGTTCTGTGTGCTTCAGCAGTATAAAATAGCATCAGCGTATGACTAATTACAGTGACATCCTCCACTTATATTATATGAGTATTAACAGTGGACTTTTGCTTCACTGAAGTGGTAAATAGTAGTTGTGTATGACAAATGGTTGGTGTAGGTGTTTTTATATAAGTAGTGTATTAAATTTCTTCATATATTTACTCATCCTTTTTTTTAAGCTATTTCTAATGATTTATTTCATTCATTAGGAAGCCCAGCAAAATATGAAGATCTATATATCTAATAAGATCCATGATCAGACCATGGATAGTAAACACAGGATACAGTGCTTATGTCAATTTTACTGTCAGTGTCTTCTTCATTGTTAATAGTTACAGAGCAAGTAACAGGATATGGTAGGAAATTAGAATTTCCTTGTCAGTGCCCTCACATTCAATTGCACCTGGATCATTACTTTTAATACATGGTCTGTCTCTGCTCCAGTCAATTCTGTTTCCAATTCAAATAGTTTTTGCTTCCCCAATAATCTGGGGAAGTGAGTTAATCTTTCGATTAATTTTGTGTGGCATCTTGGGGACACTCAAAAGAAAGGGTGTCCCCAAGACAAAGTTATTTACAGCCCTCCCTCTTTCCTGCTGGCCAGGAAACCCAGTTTGTGCTGGGTTTCACTCTGAAACATGCCAGCTTACAGTCCCAGAAAACTACTTGAGGATGCTTTTCTCAGAACACCCTCCCTTCTGCTGTTTTCAGCACCTTCCCAGGACTTGTCACAGAAACCAGAACCTCTTGAGAGTGGTTACTGCTTTAACTGTCTTTACCCAGGCTATCTTCTTGTGTGCATCTTGGCTTTGCTGTGCTCAGCTGGTTCAACTGGAAGTAGAGCCACTGCTCACAAACAGATTAAGAGAAAATATCTATTCCTGTGGTTTGATTTCTTTTTGGTTAATAGTTAAAACTTAGCATCAATTATCATGTTACACTGTTCCTCTGCTTCCTTCCATTTATGTAAATAAGCTCTTGGGTTATGACTGTATACTCACATATGTTATATATGCTTACGTGCAGTCTGACCAGATTTCAAGTCCTCAGCCACATGCGGAAGGAGCACAGCTGGTCTTAAATTTAGTAGCAAGTAGTCACAAATTTAAAAATCCCAATAGAATGTTTAAGGACTGGTATGTTCAGCAATACAAAACAAGCATTAAAACAAATCTACAACACTTGTTAATTAGCTATATGGTTTAAATCAATTGCAGGTTAGTACTGTAAATATTATTCTTACTACACAGTGAGTTGAAACAAATCAGAAAAATGAGATGGAAGGGAGGCAGGTGGAAGAAAGGTAACTAACTTATGGCTAAGCAGGGTGTCAGAGATTTTTTTTTTTGATCATCCCACTGGATATTAGTGTTAAATGTAGTGTTTCCCTCTTTGTGAACACCGCATATGGAACATTAGCCCTATGGAAAAGTAAAGATGGTGAAAAAGTGATTCCCTAAATAAAACTTGGGGGCTTTTTTTTTTTTTTGAATTCCCCAAATAAAATTTGGAGTTCTTTTTTTGCATTTGTCACTAAAGAGGATCTCCTGTAAAATCTTCTGCACTCTTTTACTTGGGAAAATGTAGATGGAAGAGATATCAAGAGGTATGAAAAAAAAGATAGTTTTCCTGATGACAACTTCAGATAAAAGTCAATTGCAAAAGGGAAGGAATGCTGCTGCACATCAGAAGGGATTTAGACCAAGTGTTACTGCACATACATGGAGACTAAATTTTATGCAGATTTAATATCAGTAGTCTATTGGCAGCAATTTGTGTCATATGTAGGTCCTTGCAAAAATTATAATGAAGTTCCATTCAAGGAATGAATAAAGGCATATTAAAGGTTAATTTATGTAGGAATATCTTTCACCAGAGCAGCAGTCAACTGCTATTTTGTAGAGGCTTCTCGGCCATAAGAGCAAATGAAAAATCATTGGTGATGCAATTGTCAATATAGGAGAAGAAAGGTTACACAAACTGTTTAATGCTCTTACAATTTGCTGTTCTGTACTACCAGACAGGGATACAAGAAATAGCTACTGAAACTTGCACTGATTTCTTGATGCCACTGCCTATTAGGGGAGCAGATGGGTGAAGCTTTTCTGCTTGCTGAGTGCATCTCTTTTGTCTGTGGCTGGTGCTTGGATGTGGGTCCCCTCCACCCACCAAGAGAAATGTTAGGGTTGTTTGTACACTGCTGATGCATCAGGACTGCGCCATCACACACCCCTGTGTGCACCTGGCATGCAAAAAACATATACCCCCCTGGGTACAGGACAAGGGATAAAGGGAAAGATTTTCAGGAAAGAAACCCAAGAAACCCACCTTTGGTAATGTTAGTGCTAATTTGCACAGTGGAGACTGGTGTTGATAGTCATCATATGGCAGGGCCTGTTCCCATTTCTTGGCTATCATCTCTCTGGTGATTTTATAAAACACTGCTGTACCTTTGTAATGAGGTGAGCTGTAATTACCAAATTCATCCACTTCTTTGATTTGGAGCTCCAACCGGGGCTTTCTTTGTGAATGAAAAATAAGCCTGTAGGTTTTTCCAAAATCTTCTCCATTCTCTGCCGTTCATACAAAAAAAGAAGCATTTCTTACACTGTGTTTGTATTTGTAGCCTCTAAAATGATGTGAGCTAAATAGAATTAGTCATATAATAGACTGTTGCTCTTCATGGTTGTTGGTACTTAAATATTTAGGGCTCATGCATTCTTGACAGGCTACTTGGGCGACAAAGATGATTAAGGGACTGGAGCATCTATCTTATGACAAAAGGCTAAGCGAGCCGGGCCTATTTAACCTAGAGAAGAGAAGATTGGGAGGGGTTCTGATCAATAGGTACCTGAGAGGTGAATGTAGGAACGATGGGGCCTTCTCCTTGGTGGACAGTGACAAGGGGTAATGGGTACGAGTTGAAACACAGGAAGTTCCACCTCCAGGTGAGGAAGAACTTCTTTAGAGTGAGGGTGACAGAGCCCTGGAACAGGCTGCCCAGAGAGATTGTGGAGTCTCCTTCTTTGGAGGTCTTCAAAACCTGCCTGGATGCCACCCTGTGTCACGTGCTCTAGGTGTCCCTGCTTGAGCAGGGGGTTGGACTAGATGATATCTAGAGGTCCCTTCCAACCTCAATCATTCTGTGATACTTCAGTAGCTAAAATGTCACAGCAAGCTGTCTTAACCCCTAAGTTAAGGTTAAGCATAGGGAATGAGGAGTGAAGGCTGTGCTGCAGTTCCAAAAGTAAGACGATATGTAACATGGAAATAAAAGTAACATGGAAGATGATAAAAATAAAACGCATGCCACAGATGGAAAAGAAATAAAACTATGTTGAAAATGAAATTAGAAGTATATACTTTCTGGTTAGTCAGGACTGATATCTGTCTCTCAAAAGAAGTGGCTTCTTTGGCACATTAAGCTCTCTCACGTCTAACTGGAGTTCTCAGTGGAAGAGTTTATATAAGATGTAAAAATGTTCGGGCAGAGGGAATTAACGGTGGGGACCAGACCGTGTTGGTAGGTGATTTCCAAAGCGCCCAAAAAAGTAATTTTGTTTGAGCATTTTTTGAGGCTTATTATCTCTTCTTCAGATAAGCAAAAACTGAACGGTGACAGTTAGTGAATGGACTTTCCTGACGGCTAAAGGAATATAACACTTCTCTTTTATGACCTCAATTTGAGTACAACTCACAAAAGCACTATTTTGCCCTGGATTTCACTGTTAAACCTTACTTGCTCTAACTGAAGTTACACCAATAAAATAGCAGAAAGTTTCTTTTTTTGTTTGAAATCTATTTATTCCCTGTCACATGCTCTATAATTTGAAAAGTGACTGAGGGAATCTTGGCCTTTTGAAATATAACATAAATACCTATTGATTTTGCAGGCTCCACTTTCACACTATGACAGAATGGTTCAGGGTAGCAGGGAGCACTGAAGAATGTCTAGTCCAACCCTTGTGCTCAAAGCTTAGTCAGCTAGAGCAATTTGTTCAGGATTTTTTTAATCTAGTATATTTTATTTTACAGTTAAAGTAGAGCTGTTTCCTGTGTGGTTCCAGGTACCTATCATTTACAAGAAATAAAATCCTGAAATAACTGAATGTTGTGTAAGTAATCACAAGCAATGTTGTGTAAGCAATCACAATTGCATAAATTGTTTCAGAACAGCTCAGGTAACTAACTGGTAATGTTCATTTAATAGCATAAAATAATTACCTTACCTGAAGCGAATATATTGCCTCTAAATCTAAAATGAATCTGCTCTCCTTCTTTTAATGGAAACTGCTTTGTTGGTTCTGGGGGACCAAAGTAGCCCTCCTCATGCAGATTTTGAAGTTCACAGGTCAATTCTTTTGATGCAGATAGCACAACTACAATTTTGTATGGGTTTTCTCTTTTCCGATACAGTACCACATTAGCCATTGTGCTACAGATGGCTTCTTCCAAAGCCTGAACAAAGAGGAGAAGATACGTGTTTTCCAAGTGGAAGGAAAGGCGAATGATAAAGAAGCTGTATTAAAAAAAAGAAAATAGATATCTATATGTTAAAAACATTTTATCAACTGTTAGCAATTTATCAAGTAAAATAACAGCGCGCTCAGCCTTGAACAAACATTTTGCTTTTATATTCTTTTCATTTTTGTTCCATCACCTTGTTTCCATCTCATGATATATGGTAATTTGCTTGCTTCTGTAACGTAGAATGAGTCTTTCTGTATGTATGAATTCAAATATAAATTAAGAGAATATTTATTAAACCAAATTTCAAAAGAAAAGTCATGTAATTAGAAATCTAAATCACACTGACAAGATTATGTATTAAAATCTGCATTTCCAGTCTCAGTTGTTGGATATGTTTCATTGTCTATGATCTAGCTATGGAATATTTTTTTCCCAGATTTATGTTTTGTGTAATTATGAATAACACATCTAAATGATCTGATATTTCAAACTGGAAGAAAAAGATGCTAGTAAATTAATCATGCTCAGTGAATGATTTCTTAACTCTACTAATTCCTCTTAATCAGTATACTTGAAGTTAAATATTTCAGCAATATAATTTAATAAAATTATTTGTACTTTACCTTTCTAAATGTTCATTTAGTTGAAATGATACAAGTCCATTCCGTGCATTCTGGATAATTACATCATCAAACACAATCCATTCCTCGCCTTTTTTCCTGCGACCTAATAATTTCAACGTTTCACTGAGATTCTCCCCATTCTTTCTCAGAGAGGCAGTCATAGCTCTGGAAAGCAAAAGAATTGTATAGAAAATTTAGTGATCCTACAGGAAGAGTAAGACTTGTATTTGTAAATCTGCTTTCCCTTCTGGTTTCCAGTGATAACCAGGTGTTTCCTCCATCTTGCTGAAAATCCACATCTGAAAGTAACTTGAGCATGTAAGTGATAAAATTGTTTGCAGATTTTTTTGAATTCTTCATAAGAAAAAAAAAAGTTCCTTTACAAATGAATGCATTTTAAATCTAATTATGGTTTGTTTTTAAGATATTCATCAAGCTTTGGACATTTTATAAAGGTAGATATCTGAAGTGGAGGAAAAAAAAAGTTTTATTCCTTAAGCATATATTGCAAAATAACAGATTAGAAAATAAGACATAGCTGCTATCCATTACCTCTTTCAACAGAAGAAGTAACAGCAGAACAGCAAATTGTCTTGAAATCAGATAATTACATTGATATCATATTCAGGATCAAGAAATCATGCCATGACATGCTCTGGCTATCTCAGTATTTGCAAGTACAGGAAAATGTTGGCATCTTTTCTCTGTGGGATTTATATCAAAAGAAGCAGTCAAGCCACAGTCTTTTCATGGATGCTCTTTGATGGAAAAGCTAAAATGCTTTTTAGACTGGTATTAGGTGCTGATAGGTACCATGAGAGTACTGCCACACAGTGAATTGCTCTGGTATAACAAAAGAGATTGGAATCTCCCACACAGAAACATGACAACCTTCCCAAATGTGAAGTCTGTGATAAAGACGGATGTTTAGTTTAAGGAAACACAGTGTGTGTGAGCTCTTTAAAATATGAACTAAGTTTTTCAGAAATGGAAAGCTTGGATCCCTTCTCCATTTGTACCCTGCTTATTGGAGATTTTTGTATCTGGGCGGGTAGATGAATTTTGAAAAAGATAATGTTTATTATAACAGGAGTAAGCTAACTCTTTAAGGATTTCAGGTAGAAGTCCTTGAGAGCTGACTGTTGTCCCAGACTAGTCCCCACCAAGAAATCCCGTGGGATCCTTTCTAAACCTGCAGATGCCTATGGGAGCAGAATCGGAAGGGCAACAGTGAATTGGTAGCTTTAGACTGATTTTTTTTTTTCTTGCGTGAGATGGGAAGAATATTGTTCTATTTTGCTGACTACCAAAATGTATGGGATCTGCCTTGGCCTTTTTTTTCCCTGAAAAGTTTCACCCATCTCCTTGCGTTTGATCAATTTTATTAAACTGCCAGGTAACAAATGAACTTCAGAGTTTTTTTAGGTGTCACCATTTTTAGTGCTTAGCCTCAGACACACTGAAAAGTCTAATTTTTAGAAATTTTGTAGTATGTGCTTTGAGAACCTGTCCCTCTACCAAATGCCTCAGGATGTGCACAACAAAACCGACATAGCCTAAATCATTGTGTTTCAGAAATTTTCACTCATGTAGCCAATGGAATGAAGAGAAATAAATCAGGAAATTCAGAGTATGAGATATCCAAACCACCCAGTGGATAGTGGTCAAGATAGCTGTAAGGTATAGCTATTTTCTGTGCTCTGTGCTTGTATAATATATTATAAATTCTAACTTTAAAAATTGTGTAAGAAAGTACAGTAAGAGTACTTTCAAGCAGTAGAGCTTGTTTGTTATCTTAAGAAAGTCTGCATTAAGAATCATAGCCATAAACAAAACATAATAGCCATTCTGCAGTAAGAATCTTAATTTTGCCATGGTAGCTTGTAGTGTTTTGGATTACTTGTGGAATAAAATACTATTCTGTTTAAATACAGATGGCAAAGATCAGTTTTAAGTATGTGAAAACAGCTGGACATTCCTTTCCTATAAAAAAGGAATGTGTTTTTCATCCTGAATCCTGTTAGAAATACTGTGGTCAGCATCTTCAGTGATTATAAATCAACATGTTATATAGAGTAGCTAGCATGAGAATGTGGGGTTTTGCTCTAGGGTTTCTAATGCTTCTAGCTATAGCAGACTACATTAAGGAAAGAGTACACTTTAGAATACAAAAATGATTAATCAGCAACCATTAAAATTAATTTATTTTACTGTTTTGATCACAATTAATTTGTAGACTGTTCTTACCGAGGATGATATGTTGTAGTAACTTGACTCTTGACGGTAGCACTAATGGCTCTTACATGTTCTGCCTCATCTCCTTGTCTCTTTTTTTCTGGGTTTGGAGGACAGGGAAGAGTAACAGTAACTGACTTGTTAAATGCTTGGCCTGAAGGATGCTGGACATGAACCAGTGCACTACTGGATACCACTGAATGATATATATCATGTTTTGCTTTCAATGTGGAAACCAGTGATGGCTCAATTGGCTGAACCTAAGCATAGAACACAATTGTACAGTTAGTACAAAAGCGATTAAAACTTTATTTATTTATTTATTTTTACAAAATGATTTATTTTTTGAAATTGGGTTAGACTGTCACAGAAAATTTAGGTTTCCCTCTTTAACCCAGGAACATTTCTAGCAATATACTAGCATGAACAAGCTTAATTGTTTTGTACCTGCTTCATCTTCCTTCAGAAATTGATGGGTTTTTTAAATTTTTTTTTTAATCTATATTTTTGACTCTTATTTTTAGCCTCTGAAATGCATATCAGTACCTCAGAATCAACATTTTTATTAGGGAAGGGAGAAAGACAATATAACTGGAGCTTATTTTGAGATTATTTACAGTTTAAGCCTAACTGGGGACAAAATCCTTCATTGTGCTGGCAACTAAGAAGGAAGGCAGTCAGATGAGAAAATTTGTTCCAGTAGCTTAAACCATTGCCAAACAATTGACATTGGAGGTTATATCATTGTTGAATACAGTTTCATTTTCCAAAGCATATCAAAGAAAAGTAAGCTGGAGGTATGATGACTACTGAGGATACTGTGGTTTTAACAAAGCTGTCAGGAAACCATTTGTTGTGAATACACTTTGTGGAACTGCATAATCTTCATAGTCACTGAATAATGAAAGAGGTTGACCTTTAAGACATTAACACATGTTGTCATCTTGTTTTTGAAAATAATCAGATAACACATAGTTATGGACCAAATACTGTGTATTTCAGGCTTACCTTTAGATGCATGACTGCTGGAGAACTGAATGTTTCTGGAGGGTAATAGAAAGAGATTCTAGAATCTATGTTCAGCTTTTGGGAGAGACCAGCCTTTGGAATGGTAAATATTTCTTTCTTTAAGCATGACAATACGGAAAAAATACCCAGTTGATAAATTTTCACTTCTGCAAAGATTTCCTGTGGAAAGATATTGTGTACTCTAGTACATTGGAGGGAAAGGAAGCCATATTCAGTAGTGGATTAGCATTTTAAGAGTGGAATGTTAAATATAATGCAGGTTGTGAAATGAAAATAAGAGAAATACTGCTGCCACTTGGATACCCAGTTATTTGGTATTACTCTAGTCTCCAAGTAATGTATTTATATTTTAGTACAATGAAATGAGTTGATGATGTGTGTTGGATTTGCCCCAATATGATTACTTATGTAGTTAAAAACAAACAAGCATGCCAAAATAAAACCCCAAAAAATTACTATCCTGTGTTTCTTTAAGATGGAATATGGACCCATACACACAGAATTATGTTATTTCTCTGTAATCTAAGCGCAAAATATTTCCCCTTATATTTTCCTATTATTTACAAAAGAATGTTACACATATTACACATATATACAAAAATCACAAACTACTGTTCAGTCATGAGTATTGTGGGATCAAGTATTTCCCTTATCACTGTTAATGAGAAACAGACCTTGTTAAATACTAGGTTTCAAATAATTAATTCTTGAGGAAGTAGTTCATCTTAATACCATATAAGGTGTAAAATGGCCTGCTAATGATCAGTGTATTGTACAATTCTACACAGGCTTAATTGGTGAACTGGAATGATGTTTTCATAATGTTCAGTTAGGAGATGACTAACCTTATGGTTTCCTTGGTATCCCTCCAAAGAAATGGGAGACAAGTAAGTCGACTGAAAGTTCATATCAGTCACCTTCACCAAAATATCCCGATAATTTCCTCTGAAGAGTGAAGCAAATGGTATTGCAATGTTGATAGGGAAGGGGACTGCTTTTTCACAGTCAGAGCATTCAATACTGATGACATTGCTGAGCAGCTCCTCAGAATCCTCCACCACCAAGGAACTAGTGTCATTGACTATCTTACACATCAGGTTCTCAAGAGCAATTGCAGGACCTTTAATATAACAAACTACTTCCTGTTGATTCTCATCACTTCCTTCCACTAGAAATCTGGAGAAAAAGAGCATAAAATATTATTATTTGCATTCTAGAGTGTTGGCAATGATTTTTCTTGTAATTTTCATTAAATACTTTGCTAATTTGACATAATTTCTTTACAGCATAGACAAGTCAGTGATAGTAACTTATGTTTATGAATAAATAGATATGACATGAAAACTTCTGTTGAACTTCTTTCAGAACATCTGGGAAATTATTAGAAAATTGCCTAATTGGGGTCCTTTTCTACTGATTTCCAAGAATTTTGGAATTATTTTCTTTCCTGGCTGCATCTCTGTCTCTTTGTGGCATAAAAAAGTGTATGTAATCAAATAGAGAGTTCCAATTTACTTGGGACCAAATGGAAGATCTTGGGTGTGCATACTTCAATTGTCAACTGCTATTTTTTGCTTAAGCAGGAGCTGCCCAATACATACATGTTGAGTTTGTGAGCCCACAAATGTTTATGTGTATACTAATAGGCAATTTCTGTTACATATGTTCCTCTAGAGAAGATTATGTACTTACGCTTTGTTCATCCAGTGCCTAGAATTTTGAAAGTCTTCTGAATCATTTGTAGAAGGGTTTGCAGTAGTTAGATCACATACTTGTGTCACAGACGTAAAGTAAATCTCATGTTTTTTTCCCATATTACTGTCTCTCATTTGCTCTGTCAGTTCGCGTTCTTCATTCTCCACGCTTTTTGAAGGTTTGTTGACTACTGCCATCTCTTCCCTCTCAGAAAGGTTCATGACAGTGCTATGAGTATCTTTTAATGTTCCAGAAAGAATGTCTTCACCATTGCCCCTAAGAACATCTTGAAAAAACAATTCTGGAGACTTTTTAGTAAAAGAGCCACCTCCATAAGTTTTTTCATTTTCTTTTTTCACTGGAACTTCTCTATTAATATAGTTTTCTTGAGCAGATACATTTTCAGTTAATGATGCAACTGTTTCTTTTTCCACAGCTTTGGTTTCACTTGGCTGGATTTGGTTACCATCCTGACTTCTCTGAGAAGGAGTTATTTGGGCGGGCTGACTGAGACTAGAAGATATTTGCACAGGCTCTTCTCCTCCTACTTCAGAAAAGCACATGTCCATTTCTCTAGGAGCATTCTGAGCTGTCTGGATCTGAGATTTATCGTCATATTTGCAGCTAGCATCATAGAGTTCATTTTCTCTCTCTTGAAGATATGAGACTGTATTTATCAAATAATCCTTCACTTTCAGCAAATAATCTATAACTCTGTTGCACTCTGAGGAAAAAAAAAAGTATGTAATCAGTTGAATTTTGCTATGGAAGTTAACAAAAATGTGAAACCTTTTGTAAACATGCAAAGAGAATTACAGCTAACTCCCTAGTGCCATGCAATGCATCTGAAACATAATACATATCTAGGCTTTCATTTTATATTTGTGCATTTATTTTTAGTCAGTCTGAGGAAATTTCTGAGTAACCACATCCTGACAAGTACAACTTGGCTACTATGGCAGCCCTAATCATTCTAATGATTCTAAGCCCATTATAATGATCAGACACTACTAGATGAATGCTTAATGATATTCAATCTAAAATAGGAAATCGGTAAGTAGTACTCTAGTCAACTTGGGAACAGCTTAAATACTAAACCTTAATTACCTATATTTTCTAAAACTTAATTCTGTAAGTTTCTAACATGAGATTCTCTGGCAAAGCTTTTATACATAGGCTCAATATGAAACATGAATGAAGAAGCATGCCTAAAAAGCACAGATTCTTTGCCATTCGAGTACTATTTTATCTTTAATGTAAGTATTTGTTTTATGATCCCTTTGGTGTTATCTTGCACCTTCTCTTAGAAATCTTTCCAGAAATTTTCTCTCCAGGAATTGAATATGTATTACTTTCTGTTGTCTCCTCACTTTATTCTGTCAATCTCTTTATAATTGGGAATGTGTCTTCATTAGTTAGATACATTGCAAATCTCTAGGAGAATTTCTTGCTTATTTCATTGCTGCATGAAATCCTGGCAGACTTTGCTTCGCAGATGAAATTCCATGAAAGTCAGGCATGTTGCTGGTGTGACGTTACATGGTTTAGATAGACCTTTCACTTTCACCTCTATTTGCAGCTGCTTAATTTAACCTCCAAAGAATATGTTTCAGGAATTTTTTTTTATTTCTTTTCAATTTTTTTTTTTTTTTTTTTTTTTTTAATTCCCAAACCACTTGTTATTGTACTTTGACTACATTGGAAAAACAAACAGGTTTTATTATATTTTTTCAGTGGTTTGGCATGGAATAAAATAGTTTCCAGGGCAGTTTTACAAGAGCAAAGAAGAACTTCCAAGTGATTTAGCAAGTCTGCGAAATAAAACAAAAAGACTGGAAATGACATAGCCTGCACAGCTTGCCTTGAATAAGAAGTTGCAGGAGAACACTTCCCAGTCTCACTAATGCAAAGCTTCCTTGGCCTCATTAGAATTACATGAATCGGTGCAAGTTGCCAAAATTACCCCTTGAGTTCCCTACTTTGAGTTCTCTAATAAGAAGAAAACATTTCCTACAGCTCTTTAAAGGTCCCTAAATTCAAATTTCTAGATAACATTATAGCATCATTCTGAATAATGGAATTTGCCTACACTGTGAGCTTTTTCTAATACGGAAGTGCTTAAAGCTAAGCACTTAAAGCTACGATTCTGCCTTGTAACTTTAGACTGCTCAAAAGTTTTGCATGAAGGCACATTTTCCATTCTGTCACAGTGTTAACCTTGGAATAAATGTCCCCTTGTGCTTAAAAACAAATCAGCACAAGAAAAGCCCTTTCTGAACACTTTGCCTTCCATGTTTTTCTGATGTATGATAGCATAGTCTGGGAAATACAATGGCAGTCCATATGTAAGTGTCTTCAAACTGCTTTGCTAATTGAGTGGATTTTGGAAGAGAGTGAGACTGAGAAAAAGAAGATTTTTGGAAGGAGAATGGTAATTAAATTTCATGTATTTACCTGTACACTAAGATGAATTCTACAGTAATTGTATTTTGGATGTGTACATAAATTTGGATGGCTTAATGGGGTTGAGGTGGACAGGGTCTGTTGGCAGCTTGAAGTGGAACTAGAGGCAGCTGGCTTCTTCCTGCTTTTGTTGTTGTTATTTAAACTGTCTGAATGGCTTCAGTTTTTAACTATCTAAACTATTTTGGATGCCTATAGATTACAATATGCATAACAAAACTTTAAAAGCAGTTTAATTCATTATGTTAAAAGAGTATGTGTGTATATATATGTGTTACATATCAATTAAAAGATAGAATCAAAATCATAGTTCCACAGTGATACAATTGCTGAAATATATTCTAAAGAATTACCAGTACTGGAATCTCAAAGGAAAAGTAAAGTTTTGTAGCATCATTAGAAGGTAGAACTTAGCATCCAATATATCCACCACATTTTCTTTACAGCTAAGTCCCTCCATACTTGCCTTGCCTTGAAGTCAGTTCTCTGCGTTTGTCTTGAAGAGCTCTCAGTAAGTGGCAAATGTCTTGAAGACCTTCTGCAATGTTCTCCAACTGCTGACTGAGAGATCTGCTCAGCTCTTTTGTTACAGAGATCAGTCTAAGCACGTACTCCAGGATGCCCTTATTATCCAGATCCCTTTTCAGAAGCATGTCTCTCACTAGTGAATTCGTATTGCAGATCTTTTCCATGAGCTGACCTGATTTGCCTTCAGCAGGTATGAACTTACATTCAGTTACTTCCATTTTATTTTAAAAATATACCACGAAAATTTTCCTTCTGCTCAAAACACTTCCACAAGATGTTTTATTTGGTTCAGGATGCACTGTTTATTATCTGTGGCTTAAATGGGGAACAAAACAGTATTGTATTCCACACATACTGAAAAATCAAACTGTAGCTCAGAAGCTCTGAGTTGATGTTGACTATTAAAAAGTTACTAGGTGACAAAAAGGAGTGGCTATCCTGTAACTAAAGAAAAGGATTGCCAAGAAATGCCAATGTACACTGCATATTTAAGAACTTAAATAGGAAGTTTATGTAACTTACTTATGTAACAGTGACTTAACTCTCAGGAGTTCTGAGCAATTTCTTACTGCAGAAGTGGCTGCAAAGGATCAGGATCTCTGAAATCAAGTCTAATCTAAATGATACAGTAGCTAACAATGAAGAAGTAAGCCAATTGCTGTTTTTCCTTACAAAACAACATTAAATATTGTAGGGTTCCTTGACATGATTTTCTAACAAACAACTTTATTCCTTTGCTATTTAGAAAGCTTAAGCAGGCAGGCCAGGTGCAAGCTGCCCGCACACTGCATGGTGTGTTTGAATTCGTCAAGAGTTTCCTGCCTGTTGTCCATAGGAATGACATCACCATTATGGCAATGGAAAGCGATGGTAGAGCAGCACTTAAGTTCTCTGCAGCTACTGCTTGGCATTTAGCTGTGCTGCGAAAGGACAAACTCAAAATCCCCATTAGCAGAGTTTAGGCCTGAGCTATATCTGAAGTATAGCATATACCAAAAATATTTTATAGTTTAAGCAATCTACTACACAAAATTCTGTACAGTGGCTTTCCTAATAAATATTCCTTTTCATCACCCATTATAAAAATAATTAATGCTTCTCTAAATAACAGTTTAAAGGGGGCCACTGAAATCTCACATAAACATTGTGAGGACTAATGAGGCCATGTCAGCAGTGTTCTTTTAAAATGCAAAGTGTTGTATTAATGTTAAAAATAACAAGGAAAGATATAAAGTATATTTAATCAAATGTATGAGCTGACACCAGTTCTAACTGTTCAAAGGAAAGTTCTTTGACCCCTCCTAATTTACTTACCATACAGAAAGTGTACTTCATAGCTAACAAAATACTTGTGAATTTTGAACTTCTTTACAATCTCTGATTATTCAGCATTGGAGATCTGGATAATCCTTCCAAATTACTCCTAGTAAAAAAGGAACTCTGAGGGTAACATACAGTTTTGTGCTCATCTTCCCACCCAAAGTATTGGGGAAGTGCAAAGAAAATAAAACAAAAGAAAGGAGGCAATAAATGCATTATTATATATTTAGTACGGAATCACACCAACTGAAAAGTTGATCTACGTAATCATGTATGTACAGCTACTTTTCAGTTGTTGTAAACTGAGAAGTTAGTGTGACTCTCTACTCACTAATTATGCTATAGACAGATTCATCAGCTCTGGATCTTGTTCAGTTTAATGATTTGCTTAGACCACTCTTGCCCAGATTATGTAAATCAATTGCAAAGTGATTTGCAAAACTGACTTATGAAAAAAGACATTAGTTTGGATAGAGGAAAAAGAATATCTAATTTTTGAAAAATGACCTTGCGTATGAAATATACATGGCCTTGTTAGAAGAATATGCAATGCGTTGCATGCAGCGGAGCTTATTAGAAGTTATTAACGCAGTACTTTTATATGCATTTTTTAAATATATGATAGGTATTTGTTCATGCTCATGTTCTTTGTCGTAGGCAAACATGATGAACTGAAGAATTATATATCTAGCTTCTTGCATCAATACATGTTATCTGTACAAATTATCTGTACGTATTGGAAGGAAGAGATTTGTTATTTTAGAAAATA